CCGTGTTAATCTTTATTGTTTCCTTTGCAGTGAAAAGGAAGCGAGACCTGTCGTCAGAACTTCTCCTGTTAATGAAAAAGAGTGACGAGAGGGGGGAGAGGTTTCTGGAGCACAGCCAGATGCTGGTGCAGCAGGGACAGGAGGTGGCTGAGGGGTTCAAGCGGATGTCCCAGGTGATGAAAGAAATCCGGGAGGACAACTGCTGCATGCTGAGGTTGATGTGCCATATGGTGGCAGCGATGGAGGACAAGCACTGACCTTTGTGTGGTTGTGTTGGACCTATACAAATGTTTTATAACTTCATTGTTCCCACTGGTTTTTTGTATATACCTTTTTGATGTTGGACTTTGGTGTACAAAATATATTTTCCCAACTTGTTTTTGTATACCTATTTTGATAGATTTTTGTATAACTTTATTGTTCCTACTTGATTTTTGTATACCTTCTTCGCAATTAAAATAATGAACACAGTGGCCATTAGATCTTGCCGTCCAAATGTTTTATTGAGTTCAACTGAGAGCTGACACGGTTAAAGGAATGAAGGTCTGGAGACACAGAATGTTATGAAGACAAAGATTTTAAACTTTTCATCTTTATGGCAGGTAGTTTTGGCAAACAATGATGTATGATGATCTTATATCGATAGTCTATGATTATGATCAAGTGATTAGAAATGTTTTAAGTCTTTTGGTAACAGGAATTAAAAAAATAAAATAAAATAAAAAGGGTTACAATTATTAGAGCAATGCACACAGTGACACATTCATAGTGTTGAGTATCATGCATTCATTGAAAGATTTGATAAAGTAAGCCCTGAAATGGAAAATTCTGAAGCAAAGACGGAACACAATGAGAAGACAGGAGAGCTGGAACTCGATGGCAGACACTGAAGATTTATTTGAAGTTACGTCCGGAGAATTGACAAAGACATTTGCTGCAGACGCAAAGTGACACAGCTCCTGCCCAACCAATTCTGAAGATCTCTCATCAAATCCCAAGTATTTATCTAGTTCTAGACAAAATTATTCTCATAGAAAGAGAGAAAGTAGGAACTGAGGTCGCATGCCTGAACAACACACTCTCACTCCCTAAACGTCCAGGAGCGACGCTTGGTCAGGGTCCCGTGGCGTGCAGTTGGGACGCGCCGAGGCTCCTTCAGCTTCATAAACGGACGCAAAGAGCTTTCAACTGATTGCAATGTATTCCCATCGGCGGCGGTATTTGACGCTCATGGAAGCACCGCATCGGTCCATGTCGGCGGCCCTTAAAGGCAATGTGAGCGTCCATTCCCATTGGAGAACGGAGAATTGTACACCCGGAAGTAACTATTCTCCTTACTGTCGATTGATTTTACAGTGATATCTGCACTACTCATCAACTCAAAAACACCAGATTATCCTTGTTAATTACACAACATTGATTGGTTTAAATTGTGTGCAATGCTTTTGTATTTTTCCCCTTCGATTCGGAGAAACAAATATTTTTTCTGAGTTTAGGATGGCTAGAATTTTAAATACACTACCCAGAATCCTCAGCTATCATTTAGGACTACAGCATGTGCTTTGTTTGACAAACCCCGTGATTAGTTCTCAAGCTCTGTGATTGGTTGACCTCCAACTGCATTCCATATAAAAAAAAACGTTTCGTAAAAGATAAAATCATACATTATTCAGCAGTGCTTGCTTTACTCTTTGAAAGTCATCACATGAATGCATTGTAATAAATGGTTCGGCTGCATTAAATATTACACATCTGTCGGGCCTCAGAATAGACCGGAAACTATTATTTTACCGTTCTGTTTCAACATTGATTGGTTTAAATTGTGTGCAATGCTTATGTATTTTTCCCCTTCGATTCGGAGAAACAAATATTTTTTCGGAGTTTAGGATGGCAGATTCTACACTACCCAGAATCCTCAGCTATCATTTAGGACTACAGCATGTGCTTTGTTTGACAAACCCTGTGATTAGTTTGGAGTGGCAGTGCGCGAAGTTTACACCGCGTCAAACAGCACTTTGAAATGGAATGAAACCCATCGACGGCACACCCCCAGTGTCCTACCCCCCCCCCCCCCCCCCCCCCCCTTAGGTCACAGGCTCCTCCAACAGTGCAACACAATAAAACAGATACACAGAAAAAATAGTGCAAGTAAATACAAAAAGAAAAATAGTCAAATAGTAAAAAGTGAAATAGTGCAATAAGAGTCTATATACAAGTGATTGGAATATGATATATTTGACAAATAATTTCTAAGTAGCAGCCAGATGAATATTATGGATGTTGTTTCAAAGTTCAGGTGGTTAATAGTCTTCTGGCCTGTGGGATGAATATCTTAAGTGCTTTGACAAAAAATCCATAAAACAATAGGCTTGTTTGAGACAAGCGAGACCTGCGCAGACCTGCGCAATTGCGATCAACGTCTTGCTCGTGCGTTGCATGATGGTTAGTCATTTTGTCCGACTTGCTCTGGAGGCTCGCCTACATGAGACGTTGAAATCTCGCGGGACAAAGACGCCCGCAGACTTGAGAGCGAGGCGCGGCGAGGCGGCGCAGTTTCTCTCCCCGGGCTGCGGAAGCGAAATGCTTGATGGGAAACGACTCGCTGGTATCTCGAGCTGAGCGCTCATTGGTGGGTTTTACCCCGTGCTGGTGATGAAACTCTCCATTGGCTCGGCAAAAGTGTGTTGTTGTTTTGTGTCAGTTTTACGTCGCCACTTCCATTCACATTTTTCATCATTGTTCCACAATGTTTATCATCATGACATTAATATCTATATATTTTATACTATACTTGCACTGCTTACCGTTGTCATACTTTATATATCTTAGCATATTCATACAACACACTGTTCATACTAGGCTAGGCTACTGTGTATATAGTGTATTCATACCCCTCACTGTTTTTTCATCATTCAATTCATTCTATATTTTATTCTGTAGATTGTGTACATTACTTTTCACTTTACTGCTTTATGCACTCCTGGTTAGAAGCTAAACTGCATTTCGTTGTCTCCTGTAATCTGTGCAATAACAATAAAGTTGAATCTAATCTTGAGCAGGAACAAATGTATTTACTTAGTACATATCTGACATTAACGATTAAACACATTTGTCCATTCTTTATCAATCAATCAATCAATGTTTATTTATATAGCCCAATATCACAAATGTTACATTTGTCTCAGTGGACTTCACAGTTTGTACAGAATATCAGTATGACAATACGACACCCTCTGTCCTTACGTTTCACATCATACAAGGAAAAACTTCCAGAGAAAAACCCACAGTTTAAAGGGGGAAATGGGAGAAACCTCAGGGAGAACAACAGAGGAGGGATCCCTCTCCCAGGACGGACAGACGTGCAATAGATGCCGTGTGCATTTATAAATGCAAACCGAGTCAAGCCGACTCCGGAGGTGGCGGTATGCACCTTAAAGTTGTTTGAAATCCGCCAAAAAACCGAGAGAAGAAGAAGAAGAAGAAGAAGAAGAAGCCGACTCCGAGCTGTCCGACTTCAGGCGAGTTTTTTGAGACCTCCCCCGGCTGCGATCGGCTATTCTCGTCTACTTTCGAGGCGAGCCGCAGCTCGTCTCAAACAAGCCTAATGGCATCTGTGGAAGCCGTAGTACTGTAAAAAGCACGACCAATCATTTTAGCCGGCCCGGCTAAAATAACTGGATGGCCTACCTGCCTGTCAGCCTTCCTTCTGTGCACAAACTTATCTCGTGCCCTCATTGGTCATGTGTGTGTTGGAGGAGGGGCTCTGTAAGGAAGTGGCAGATTTCATTCCATTTCAAAGGAGAAGGGTCTAGCTGCGGCCGCGGCCAGTACACGACACTACACGACACGCCCACTACACGACACGCCCACCTGACACGACACTACGGTGGCTGAGAGACATTACCATACATGGCAGATTAAAAGCGAATTGACGACACTGACGCTGATGCAAGGATATTTAAAGAGACATGAGGTTCAGAGAACAGACAAACAATATGGCGCACCGAGTACAGGTAATTAACGTATTGTGGTTTTAGATATAATTACATACTATTTAGGTTCTCGTTTGTTTGTCGATGTGGCTGTTTAGCGCAGTGTAATTGTGTTTATTTAGCTAATTTGTATTTTAAATATTAAATGTAAAGGAATGGAATACATATAAATATATATATATCTTAGCTCTTAGCTTGACATGCTCGACGTTCAGTTAGCATATATGCTAACTGAACATGCTCGTTCAGTTAGCATGTCAAGCTAAGAGCTAAGATATATGTATATATTTTAGCTTGACAGATGGAACAATGCATGTACTCGCATTTTTACAAGAATCTGATTTTAAATATTCATTGAAGGTGTCTTTCACATTTGAATGTTTTAAAAAAAAAAACATGTATTAGCTGCTATACTGACATATGTATAATTATATTATTATTTTAAGTGTGGTTTAAAGTTAAATGATATATAGTTATTGGGTAGAGCCAAGTAACCCAGGTGGATGCAATCAGGCCTCTGTTTTTAGATGGGGTTTGTGACCATGCTGTAGGCCTGACATTTAAACCATAGACCGTACTGTATATATAAAGATTTAAACTAGCTGAAGGGCTTTCTGTTCGAACCACAGTGACATCTAGAGGTTGTTTTGTGCATAACATGTCAACCAAAAAGGTAGAGCTGGCTGAATCAGATGGAGTTAAACTTTTTTTTTTTCAACAAGATATCAAGACACAAAATGTGCTCTACCAAATGGTGGCGCTGGCAGTTAAAGGGTTACCTTCTGAAAGTGAGGAAGTATGACCAGCTTTGTCCCATAGGATTATACAGGCCAGTCCATTGCTGCTTGTTTAAGGAGTTAACTATTTCCAATATTAAAGTCACTGAAATTGTATTCTATTTTATTCACCTATAGACAAACAACACAACACTCCGTGATGGAGCACGCCCAGAGCTCAACAAATTGGACTCGGACACCTTCCAGTGTCCATTTTGTGAAAGGACCGGGTCATACCCTGGTCTGATGGCTCATTTGCAGAGCCACCAGAGGGCACTTGTGAAATATGGAGGTAAGTACATCTATAATTCTATATGATCATTGTATACTTCATCACATTACATTACATGTTACTTGTTAGATGTGTTTAATGCCTCACACATTATGGATACATGTGTTATTTCTGTGCCCCAGGACATCCTTGGTGTAAATTAATTTTGAATTATAAATTGAACATTAAAAATTAGATTTATATTCAGGTTATGAAGTGTTAATAATGCTGGAAAAATATCCTTATTTGGGGTAGGCACAATATGAGCATAATCACACATTCAATCTGCAAAAAATCAGTTTATAGGCAAAAATATTATTGTTGGTGACATGATTATTTATTGCTCTCGCACAAACACCTTGTTTCAAATTGCATATTTACAAGAAATTCATGTTGGTTTGTTTCTAGAATCCTCTAAACCACTTTCTGTCTCTTTTTAGGTTATAATGTTTATAAATGCCATCTCAAATGTGTGGCCAGCAGCCATTATCACTGTGGCCCAAGAATCATTGGGAGAAAGGAGATGTTTATTAGTCACTTTAAAAACTGCTGCACTGAACATCCAACTACGTTGGCGGCGGCCCCAGCAACCACAACGACTCCTCCAGTGATGGCCCCGACGGCCGCTCCAGTGATGGCCCCGACGGCCGCTCCAGTGATGGCCCCGACGGCCGCTCCAGTGATGGCCCCGACGGCCGCTCCAGTGATGGCCCAGACGGCCGCTCCAGTGATGGCCCCGACGACCGCTCCAGTGATGGCCCCGACGACCGCTCCAGTGATGGCCCCGACGGCCGCTCCAGTGATGGCCCCGACGGCCGCTCCAGTGATGGCCCAGACGGCCGCTCCAGTGATGGCTCCGACGGCCGCTCCAGTGATGGCTCCGGCTGCTGCAGCAACATGGCACAATATTTCCACAGCCCCCAACATTTTGATGTCAAAGCGCAAAACCACAACATGTTGTTTTTGTAGCCTACAACTAAAAAGGAACATTTTTCACATGATGTTCTGTTCAATAAATGTTCATTGAGGAAAACGGTATCAGTGTCTTATTGTATATTCACCACAGTGAATGCAGTGCATGCTGAACTTGCCGGACCATATACTGTAGTTGAAAGTACACAATGAAACACTGGCTTGCTTGTATCAAATCAATACAATTCCCACATGCCCTACCCCGGAACCTGCGGTCTTCAGACTCTGGCCCCCCGCACCAACCTGCGATCCTTCGGGGACAGAGCCTTCAGTATGGCAGCCCCCACTCTCTGGAACGCTCTCCCTGCGGAGATCTGCAACATCCCCACGCTTGACGCCTTCAAAAGGGCCCTCAAGTCTGCCAAGGTCTTTGGCCCCAAATCTATTTGTGTTGTCTGTCTAACTGTTCGTCTAACTGCCTTTTGTTATGTTTGTTTCTACTCCTGTTCTTTTTAAAGCGACCTTGGGTCTCATGAAAGGCGCTATATAAATCCAAGTTATTATTAATACATCATTGGAACGGTAAGAATCTCAGCTACAACACTGACTAAAGCCTTCCCATCTCCAGTATGCCTACATGACAAGCATTTTTATAATATACAGTAAACATATCTTTGACTTATTAGAGAAGAGACAATCATCAAGCCAGATACCAAGGTATTTACAACAGGCAACCACTTCAATTACTTTTCCTTTATGTTATTGTTATTTGGTTTTTATTAGTGCTTTTGTCGTTTTGAAGGAAATTAAAATACTGTATTGAGTTGGTTTCTTCTGTTTTGGAAGCCTTGTATATCTTTTTGGTCTTGTTAGAAATACCCCATGGTAAAACAGTGTTCTAGCAGCAGTTAAAGAAGCTTAGTTTGCTGTCTTAGACTGCCAGATGTATTAAGATGGTTTGTTCACAATTTACACATAAAACCTAAATGTTCATCTGTTTATTGTTCTTCTTCCTTTATATTCAAAGCATGTTGATTGTCTATTGGCTATATCTTGACATTATGTTAATTTGATCATACTTGCCATACATTTATTTTAATTTATGCGATTCCTTCAAAGGTTTTGTAATAGACCCCTAGTACTTTTAATTTATAAAGTAATAATAATACATGTGAATGATTGAGCTCATTAGTGGCCTGACTGGCCCTCCTAATTTGTTCCTTAATGACCCCATGATGTGATAATGTATATCTTAAAACCTTTAACAACTATATTTAGATGTTCACAAATATCTACATTTATGTATAAAATACATGTGTAGCAGTTAGACAAACATAATCAATAGATCATCTCATTAATACCTATTTTATATATTAAAAACAAGTTGACTAAACCACCGTTTGTTGACAAAATGATTTGGGTTGAAAGTTATACTGTTGTGTCTCAAACGGATAGACTAGGTTATTAATTTATTTGCCTAATAGTTGCTTAAAATGCTACAATAACATTTGCAATTCGTTTTTAATCTGCCATGTACGATCTCAATAATAATAAGTGTCGTCAATTCGCTTTTAATCTGCCATGTACGGTAATGTCTCTCAGCCACCGTAGTGTCGTGTCAGGTGGGCGTGTCGTGTAGTGGGCGTGTCGTGTAGTGTCGTGTACTGTCCGTGGCCGCAGCTAGACCATATTGTTTCAAAGTGCTGTTTGACGCGGTGTAAACTTCGCGCACTGCCACTCCAACATCCAATCACAGAGCTTGAGAACTAATCACGGGGTTTGTCAAACAAAGCACATGCTGTAGTCCTAAATAATAGCTGAGGATTCTGGGTAGTGTAGTGTCTTCTGCCATCCTAAACTCCGAAAAAATATTTGTTTCACCGAATCGAAGGGGAAAAATACAAAAGCATTGCACACAATTTAAACCAATCAATGTTGTGTAATTTACAAGGATAATCTGGTGTTTTTTAGTTGATGAGTAGTGCAGATATCACTGTAAAATCAATCGACAGTAAGGAGAATAGTTACTTCCGGGTGTACAATTCTCCGTTATCCAATGGGAATGGACGCTCACATTGCCTTTAACTGCCGCCGACATGGACCGATGCGGTGCTTCCCTGAGCGTCAAATACCGCCGCCGATGGGAATACATTGCAATCAGTTGAAAGCTCTTTGCGTCCGTTTATGAAGCTGAAGGAGCCTCGGCGCGTCCCAACTGCACGCCACTGGACCCTGACCAAGCGTCGCTCCTGGACGTTTAGGGAGTGAGAGTGTGTTGGCCTGAATGCCAGTAATGATAAAGGATGAGGCCTTGGTAAATATTTTCCTCAACAAGCTCCATCAAAATTAAGATATTTTTAAAATCTCAATTAGAATATTTAGGTCATGCATAGTAATCAGAGACTGGATATATATATATTATCATTCTGTCTGAAGTATTTAGATATACGACATGATGTGCTTTTTAGTCCACGATCAAATGTACATCAGCATTAAAGAACAAAAGATGACACAGAGGAACCTTCTGAGCAGAGGATTTAGTGCTCTTCTATCTTTTTCTGGATCTCCATTTTGACTTTTCTTTTGACAAACCTTCTCATCCTTGAAGACAGCATAACAGCTGATAACTTGTGTGTACGAAGCATAAGTGCTGGTTCTAACATAGACAATAATTAGCCAGAGGGAAAATATTGTTTTACCAATGTGATGTAAGATATATAAATGTCTTTGAATGTGTGGATGCTACACTTTAGCAGTCTGAAATGTTTCTAAAACTTCTGCTCATATTCATTTCTGATGAAAGCATTGACTTATAATCATTAATAAAGCCTCACTCAAATCAAAGCTCTGTCTTTGGGACCAGGGCTGTGAACCATGGACCCCCGGAGCCGGTTTTGGGGGCTAACATTTTGGGATGGTGCCTTTCCACAGCTGACTGTAGAATTGTGAGGCATTGTCTCGGACACAAAGATCTTTAAGTAAAGAGGAGGGAAGGTCTGGCTGCAAACTGGAAGACACTATGTGATTTATATTGCAATAATAATACTGAATGTTGGCTTACAGTAAATAAATATAATACTTAAGTACAATTTTAGTAATGACTTGTACTTAAGTGTGATATTTTCTTGCTCCAGTACAATTGTTATACAACTCTTACTGACTGGTAACTTTGGTTTTGGAAACTACAATCAACTAATAATAGGGTAGGCTACTGTACACAACTCAGTAATGCAACAATAACCTGCAAATAATAATCTTACTTTTCCAACAAGGGACATTTTTGCACGAGTGATTTTAGTTACTTATAAGTACATGATGCTATTTCTTTGCCCCAAGCCTGTTTTTCAGGTCTCAGGCTCGAAAAGGACATTTCCAGAACAAATGACCATAACTACACTTCTAAAAGGGGAAAATTAATAATCTTTTTTCTCAAATTAATGATAAACCTGTGAGTTGGATGAAGAAAAAGTCAGAATCAATATAGATGTTTTTTATTTTAAAGAAAATTCAGATTTTCATAGTAAAAAACTGTACATTATAGTGTCCGTCGAAAAATTATTTTTTACTTATAGTGAAAACCACCCTTGAATGATGGGATGGTAGACTAAAAGCTTTAGGAATCCAAAGTACAACATATAATAAGTACCCTGTATCAAGATTGATGCAAAACAAGTGACATTTTACCTTTTTAGAGAGGTTTAGCAAAAAAAACTCCACCTCTGGGGTGATTTGGGTGGAAATGGGCGTTTTTGCCGTTTCTCTGGAACACATTGGTCGATTTTGGTGATTGACATCTATTTTTAACCGTTAGAGCCAATAGAATCGAAAGGGGATTTTCACATACACACCAACGTTAACAAAAAAAAGTGGGGGCTTCACGCATGCAGTTTTGGCCAGAGTGAACCTATCTCTCGCTCTGACATCTGAAAACGGGAAAGTCAGTTTATTGCTTATGGATTATCAGAAATCATTTCAAAGGGACACAGACACATTGGATTAACCTATGGATTAACCTTCAGCAGCGTTTTTATCGTTTTAATGCCATTGAAGACCACTTTTGACCAGACAACGACAAAGGTAAGCCATTTTGCCATTTTAGCTACCTAGCGCCACATGTTTTGATGTCTGTTTTTGTTTATAAAGTCGCGAGTTCTTATCATGGAGTGATAATGTAGGTACCGATCGATTCTGTGTGTGTGCAGTAATGCGTTAGCATTTTTCCGCTCGTGGCTGATTTAGAGGCTCAGCGCTAGCTTTGTGGTTTTAAAAAAAAAAAAAAAAAAAAAAAAAAAGATCAGTTAGCTGAGTTTCTTCCCGTTACATGGATATAAAACATTGATAGTTTATTAAATATTAAGAAGCCCTCAGACGCTGTTTCCTGCAGATGATGCATTTTTCCCCACGGTACCGGGGGGATGGTGCTTAACAGGTTAAAGGTAACTTTAAAAGTAATAGTACTTGCAGAACGAGCAGTATTTTTTATCCACCTTTAAAGGTGGGGTAGGTAATTTTGGAGAAACCTGCTCGAGTGTGCTAGAATTTGAAAATACACAGCCGGAAAAAATCTGCCACTTCCTTACAGAGCCCCTCCTCCAACACACGAACGCGCACATGACCAATGAGGGCACGAGATAAGTTTGTGCACAGATGGAAGGCTGACAGGCAGGTAGGCCATCCAGTTATTTTAGCCGGGGGATAAAATGATTGGTCGTGCTTTTTACAGTACTACAGCTTCCACAGATGACATTTTTTTATGGATTTTTTGTCAAAGCACTTAAGATATTCATTGCTATCGGGATGTTAAGAGCATTCCATGGAATATAACAAAAAGTGTATCTCGAGCCAAAAGTGGGTGAATGCAGGAAATGAAGTGTTTGGGAAATGACATTTCCTGGAGTGGAAACCTCAGACCCTTCACAGTGAAATCTTTTTTCACTTGCTCTACTGTACATCCAAAAGCCAACAGCTGATGCAACTCTGTTCTTTCTTTTCACAGCTCAGCTCCAAAATAAAATGCCCACTTTTCCTGAGGCAGTGTTTATGGAATGGTTCAGATTTATTGTGCATTGCATTTTGGAGGATGATCGCATGCATGCGGTCAGTAGCACTGAGCCAGTTACCCAGCCTCCCGCTCAAGTTACACCCTATATATAACACCCCCTCCTCCCTCTCCAGCAGCTCCTCTCTAGAAGCTCCCTCTGCTTCACTCTGGTCCTGGGGTTCCTGGTGTCAGCACAGAGCCTTCCAGTGTTCCCCCTCCATCAGATTGTCAACCGCCTGCTTGCTCTGGATAACCAGGGACTATTTTTTAACTGTCTTTCTTGGGGATTTAGGGGGCTCTGGAGGTCCGACCTGACAGGTTGTCCGACCTGACCTGCTTGTGTTGGGAGTTTTTGGTGTAACAGGAGTGGGGGTTTGGAGGACTCCATCACCATGGATCACTCTTTATTTGGTTGTCTGCGCAGCCCTCACGCCCCAGCCCAGGGTCTGCACCCCGCCATCACCCAATCTCCACTGTGTCGAAGCTTCAACGTCTCCTACCTGGATGTACCCAGCTGTTCTCCCCCCTGCAGTTACTCTGAAGGAGAGGACACTGGCCACCTGCCTCAGCAGCAGCAACCTCAGCCCCCGCTTGACTGGTTGGTCCCTCTGACCACGCTCTCACATAACTCACGGCACAGTGTCTTCCTGCCAGAGCTTGAGGCCCCTGAACTGTGCTCTGGGGTCCCAAACCTGTGCAGTACCAACCCCAGTTTGGGCAGTGTTGCCCCTATCGGAGGGTCCTTGGTGTCTGGGGAACATGGCCGGCAGAATCTCTCTTCAAAGGACAGAAGGAGCCATAAAGGCAGGAATGATGGCTCAGGTAAGAACGGGAAGAATATAATCCATTCACTTTTAAACATGTCTCGCTCCCTGAATTTCCAGTTTGTTATTTACTTTAACTGGTCAACAATTTCCTTTAGTTTAAATGCAGATAAATGTCTATTGTTGTATAAATTCTTCTTTTCCTAAAACAAACATACAAAATATGTCAATTTGCTGACGTGGTATTATTTGCTTTATTTGATTCGTTTTTGACCCTGTCCTCATTATACTGATAATTCATTTTTTCTTTAAACACTAAAGACTTGAGCATAATTAGCTTTGGTCTAAACTATTGTCATTGCATATTCAGACAAGGGTTGATGGCTTTTAATAGTTACACCGATAATGAAGACCAAACATTGTTTTGGGTCAAATACAAATCTATTTGGAAAAACAAAGAAGAAATAAATAGTACCAACTATGACAGCTGTTTACCAACTACTGTTTACACCAAAATAAAATCTAATTAAAAAAGAACTACAAAGAAGTAAAAAGTAATTGAATTTAGAAGCTATTTTGATTGAAATTGGCATCATAATTATCACCTTATATAATATTTTCATATTATCTATAAACCAAATAAATAAAAGATACAATGTTACACGTGATAAAGTGGAAAAGTTACCATTTTGTTTTAAGTCTATATATATATATATATATATATATATATATATATTTAATTTATTGGCATATGTTTTTTCAATGTAAAGTCTCCAGGTTGTTAAAACTAAAGTCAGGTTCACGTATCAACGGCATGAAGCCTAACTTCATATTTTTGAAAGTTCTCTATCTGCACATACAGTATTTGCGTGTATGAATGGTAAAAGGACACAAAAGAGCACATCATCTCCAGGATATATCCACTAGATTTAATAGCAGGAATTATATCTCGCAGCGGTTGCCAAGTTAAGAACTTTCCGATTCCCCTGGCTGGACGTCCCGGCCGGGAGAGAGGGAGCTGACTGACAGACGGAACACTTGGAGAGGATGTGCTGGAGCTGCCAGCCGCCGGACTCAAATCCAATTTCCTAACTTTAACTTTACTGGCACTGACAGAAGCCACAGCACTTTTATTACAGACTAGATTTTCCTAAAAAAGGATGATGATGAAATACACAATGCAGAGTTATCGACCTACAACCCTGGAGAGAGCTGGCTTGGTCAGACTAATGGTTCCTAGCGACAATAAATGTTGACACTGGATGTAAATCTGCTTTGCAGAATATCCATTGTGGATGTTATTCTTAGATATATGAAGTGGTGCAGGAATGAGTCCCAAAGCCCTGAAATGACTTAGCGTTTAGCACTTCCAGTTCCCTCGTTTCGCAGTCAATGTGTTTTTGTTCTGTGGTTAACACAGGCCAAGATTTTCACTCTTTGTTTAATGTTATAACACCAACCTCTGGGTCGGCTTACAAAATAACATTGTCACTGCACCGTCCTGCATCCATCCCATCTCAGGACATCTCCTAATAGAAATTAAATGCGCAAGAAACATGAAGTCAGACGAACAGACTGGATTAGACTTGCTAAAGCATGTTTATATCATTTTTTAAATGTATATATTATAAAATAGCATCATTTTTTTGTAAGATTTGTTTTTGCCTTGAGACAGGCATCAAGGAGCTGTCGGGCATTTTCACATTATTCATGACTCAATGTTTTGTGCAGACTTTAAGATTTCAGATATTATTAACTTACATTTGAAATTCCACTTCTTTGAAGACCTATCAACATCACTATATGCATACTATATAGTGATTATAAATGCAATATATTGAAGACGACACATTAAGATCACTTTATTAATCCCCAATGAGAAATTCAGTTCCTCACAATTACATACCAACACTGTAAAAAAAAAGAAGTAAAAAAACGGAAATTTTCTGGCAAAAAAAGGAAAAAAACTGTAAAATAAAATATGGAGATAACATGTAAAAAAACAGTAACTGTAATTTTACATGAAATCTTTTTATTTTAACATATATTATTTGTTAGAATAGAGTCATAAACCTCTAGAAAACAGAATAATTATCTTTAAAAAATAATAAAGAAAAGCTAAAATACAGAAAATTACTTTTTTTATTACAAAAAAGTACCGTGTATCTAAGACCACTTACAAGTAAAACACAAAGAAAAGAATGTCATTTTACTTTGCAAAAGCCTTAGTTTACATTAACTATCACATTATTTGCCAAAAGAATCTGTAATTTTACAAGAAATGTTTTTATAATTCTATTAAATCTTTTTCTTTTAACATATATTAATTGTTAGAATAGAGTCATACACCTCTAAAAAAACGGTATAAATATTTTTTTTAATGATAAAAAAAAGCTTAAAGACAGAAGATTACTGTTGTTATTTTAGAAAATACTGTAAATTCAAGATTCAAGGCTTTATTGTCATTTGTACATTAGCTTCAGTGTAGATATGTCAATGAAAAACTGAAGTCACAGGCTCCTCCAACAGTGCAACATATATATAGAACATAGAACAAATAAAACAGATAAAATAGTGCAAGTAAATACAAATAAAATAGAATAGAGTCTATATGCAAGTAAACGGAATATGATTGCACTGCCGTACCAGGCCGTGATGCAGCCAGTCAGGATACTCTCTATGGTGCACCTGTAGAAGATGCAGAGTATCCTGGAGTCCATGTTGAACTTCCTCAGCCTGCAGAACAATTACATCATAATGTCCACTTTTCACACGGAGAGAAAACATACACATGTTGAGAGGAAACTGCATTTTTTTTAAAACCACCCATACGAACAAATGCCAAACGTTATTGCATCACAACAGAAGGTGTTCATCTGTGGAATAACTGTAATGATGAGCTGAAATACTGTGCAACTTTATCTAAACTAAAACTCTTATTTAGAAACCAAATCCTGAATGGTTCTGAGCAGGACCTGTGAAGTGATGCTTGCTATTTCTTCGTTTTTAAGCTTCTTCTTGCCCCTTTTGAACATGATAGAAACTTTGAGAATACATTTTTTTTATACCTTGAACCTTGAATTATTATTATTGTTTGTTTTGTTTCTAACATGTTCAATAAATTGACTTATACAATTTAAAAAAAAGAGCCGCTGTCTAGCAGTTTTGGTGATGGTGTTTGTGTGATGAGTCCATGTCAGGTCCTCAGTGAAGAGTCCATGTCAGGTCCTCAGTGAAGAGTCCATGTCAGGTCCTCAGTGAAGAGTCCATGTCAGGTCCTCAGTGAAGAGTCCATGTCAGGTCCTCAGTGAAGAGTCCATGTCAGGTCCTCAGTGATGAGGACACCGAGGAACCTGAAGCTGCTGACTCTCTCCCCCATATGTCCCTCTCTCTGCTGCTTCCTGTAGTCCACAATCAGCTCCTTGGTTTTGCTGACGTTGAGATGGAGGTTGTTATCCTGGCACCAAGATGTCAGGTTTTCGACCTCCTCTCTGTACGCCGTCTCGTCGCCGTCGGCGATCAGGCCGATGACAGTCGTGTCGTCAGCAAACTTCACGAAATCTAAGACCATTTACATGTAAAACACAAAGAAAACATGTCATTTTACTTTGCAAAAGCCCAAGTTTACATTAACTGTCCGATGTTTTGCAGAAAAAAATCACAAATATATATATTTATATATACAATATATTATTGAAAATATTAATATACATCACAAAAATAAAAAAAATATATTTTAAGTAATAATAAAGCAGAATAGACCCGCAATGAAACATTTCAACATTTTTCCAACATTTTGTTCAAAAGATAACAATTATAAACACTAAAGAAATCTACCAGTTATGTGCGTGCGTGTGTACATGACTGTGTGTGTGTTTCAACTCTCTCCATTCAAAGTCAGCAACGTTTGTAATTAATGAATGCACCTTTATCTTTATCGAGTGCTGTTTTTGTTTGTATTCCTTCCTCTCCACTCTAGTCCCCTTGTCCGGATTGATCTTGAATAGGCACCTGTTAAGACAGAAGTACACTTACATTTAGTGTTTAATTACACATTCTGTGGATGATACAGCCATTAATTGTCTTTACAGTTACACAGCTTGAAGTCAAAGGGCAATGCTACTCTTCAATGTACTTTTCATTAACTGTTATGATCATATCTGTGCATTTAAAGCATTGGTTTGAATAGAGTTTTGTTATATAAAGTCGTCACTTGGCATCACTATCACACTGGACAGTATCGCAGCAGGTCTGTAAACAGGAGCAAGCGGTCACTTGAAGATCATTTGAATGTGGGTAGCTACGAGTGCCATCTTGAGAGGTTTGTGTGTAACTGGGGCAGATGAGGTGCGTGTCAGTAGCAGAGTGAGCGGTGTAAAAGCATCGTAGTTAACCGAAAGAAGTTTTAATGTGTTTGTTCACTGCAATAATACCAGGTTCCGGTGCCCATCGGTCATCAGGTGCTGACACTCACGCTAAGCCTTTAGTTGGTGGTACAAGTACAAGATTGGTGGTACAAGTACAAGATTCTAATTATACTTGTGTGTTTCTCTGTTATAGACCACACACATACACTAAACCTGCTCCATGGCTGTATTACTGTGCTGTTGTGTTGATATTAATAAGTTAAGGAAATCAACCGCTACCAAGAATCTTGTGTGTTCTTACCGACACCCCAAAGTGTAAGTCACTCCGAGTGAAACCTTCCCCTATACCAGGGGTCGGCAACCCGCGGCTCTCGAGCCGCATACGGCTCTTTAAGCCCTCCACTCTGGCTCCCTTGAGCTTAGACAAAAAAAAAAAGTTTCGTATTGTAGTGCCGAGAGAAGGGAGTCGGAGGCGGTGCATCGGAGGTACAAATCTGGCTTTATTGAGGAGCAGAAATCGACATGCTGTCGGGTCGAGCCGAGAAGAGTAAGAGAAAGTGAAAGAGGAGGACACACAGTAGGTACCCCGGAGGTACCGTCAACATATGTGTCCGGGCGGAAACAATACCCCCAACCTGTAGTTCCATGATTGGATTATGTAACCCCAGTGTATGCATCAGTGATCACTACA